CAGGGGGGCCCCCAGGGGGCCCTCAGGGCGACACAGCTGCTGCTGGCGCTGGGGGCCCCCTGTGGGGTCCCCCCAAGTGAACCCAAGCCGCTGCTGCCCCCGCATTTGAAGCTTTACAAGGTGCAGCAGCAGCAGCAGCGGCTGCTGCTGCTGCTGCGGCAGCACAGAGCCTTTCTGCAGCAGCTGCTGCAGCTCGCGCTGCAGCCGCAGCAGCCGCGCATCAGCAGCAGCAGCAGCAGCGACAGCAGCAGCAGCAGCAGCAGCAGCAGCAGCGAACTGCCCGCAGCAACATCGTTGCCTTTGCTGCAGTTGTACTTCCACGTGGGCTTGCAGCTGCCTTCTGCTTTGCTGCTGCTGCTGCCAGCAGCAGCAGGCCTTGCCCCCCCGGGGGCCCCCTTGGGGGGCCCCCCCGGGGGGCCCCCCTTCCCAGGGGGCCCCCTGGCTTGCGAGGGGGCCCCCCTGTCTGTAGAGGATCTGCTTAGGGTACTGAGGCTCTTAGTACATTATACAGAACCTTTAGAGGGGCTGCAGGGGGCCCCCCAGGGGCCCCCATTTGGGGGGCCCCCCCGGGGGGCCTCCCAGGGGCCCCCATTTGGGGGGCCCCCCACGGGGGCCCCCCAAATGGGGGCCCCCCCCGGGGGCCCCCCAGGGCCCTTTCTAGGCCTGGCTGAAGCTTCAGCAGCCACTTCAGCCACACAGAAGTCCCCTGCAGCAGCAGCAGCAGCGCCGGCAGCAGCAGCAGCAGCAGCAGCAGCAGCAGCAGCAGCAGCAGCGGAGAAGGAAAAGGTGGGGTTGTTGTTCCTGCAGCTGCTGGACCATGTGGGGCTGCTGCTGCAGCAGCAGTTCGATGCTGTGGGGGAAGAAAACCTGGCAGCAATTTGCAACAGCCTCAGCAAGCTGAAGCAGAGGTACTGCAGCAAAAGGCGGCAGCAGATTGACCTAGCTGCTGCTGCAGCAGCAGCAGCAGAAGCAGCAGCAGAAGCAGCAGCAACAGCAGCAGCAGAAGCAGCAGCAGCAGCAGCGCCGCCTGCTGCTGCCCCTGCTGGTGCCGCTGACGCGCGCTCTGCGCCCGCAGCACCCGCCGCCGCCGCAGCAGCAGCAGCAGCAGCAGCAGCAGCAGCAGCAGCAGCAGCAGCAGCAGCAGCAGCAGGGCCTCTGCTGCGGCCGTTCGAAGAAGCAATTGACATTTGGCAAAGACCTTTTGGTGCTGCACTCCTCACAGAATTACCTTTTTGTCTCCACAATTATAAATACTTTTCTTTAATTGATATTGGACAATTTCTTTCCGACTGGGGGCCCCCCAGGGGCCCCCAGGGGGTTCACTGCAGCAGCAACTTCTACCCCCACCCTCTTGTGGAAAGCAGCGGGCTCCGCCTCGAGGGGCCCCTGGGGGGCCCCATCAGGGGGCCCCTGGGGGGCCCCCAGGCTCTCGGGGGGCCCCTGGGGGGCCCCCAGGCTCTCGGGGGGCCCCTGGGGGCCCCCCAGGGTCTCGGGGGGCCCCTGGGGGCCCCCCAGGGTCTCGGGGGCCCCCTGGGGGGCCCCCCTAGCTGGAGGCCCCCAGAGGCTGCAGCCGGCCCCTTGGGGGCCCCAGGGGGCCCCCAAGGGGCGTGGGGGCCCCCGGGGGCCCCCCAAGGGGCGTGGGGGCCCCCAGGGGGCCCCCAAGGGGCATGGGGGCCCCCAGGGGGCCCCCTAGAGGGATGGGGGCCCCCAGGGGGCCCCCCAGTTAGCAGCAAAGAAGAAATAAGAAATGCTGTGATGAAGCTGCAGGAAAGAGTTGCTGGAGAGACTTGGAAATTAATAGGAAGTATGAAGTACGGGTATACGGCCAAGGCGCTGTCTCCACAATTATAAATACTTTTCTTTAATTGATATTGGACAATTTCTTTCCGACTGGGGGCCCCCCAGGGGCCCCCAGGGGGTTCACTGCAGCAGCAACTTCTACCCCCACCCTCTTGTGGAAAGCAGCGGGCTCCGCCTCGAGGGGCCCCTGGGGGGCCCCATCAGGGGGCCCCTGGGGGGCCCCCAGGCTCTCGGGGGGCCCCTGGGGGGCCCCCAGGCTCTCGGGGGGCCCCTGGGGGCCCCCCAGGGTCTCGGGGGGCCCCTGGGGGCCCCCCAGGGTCTCGGGGGCCCCCTGGGGGGCCCCCCTAGCTGGAGGCCCCCAGAGGCTGCAGCCGGCCCCTTGGGGGCCCCAGGGGGCCCCCAAGGGGCGTGGGGGCCCCCGGGGGCCCCCCAAGGGGCGTGGGGGCCCCCAGGGGGCCCCCAAGGGGCATGGGGGCCCCCAGGGGGCCCCCTAGAGGGATGGGGGCCCCCAGGGGGCCCCCCAGTTAGCAGCAAAGAAGAAATAAGAAATGCTGTGATGAAGCTGCAGGAAAGAGTTGCTGGAGAGACTTGGAAATTAATAGGAAGTATGAAGTACGGGTATACGGCCAAGGCGCTGCAGGTAAACCCTAAACCCTAAACCCTAAACCCTAAACCCTAAACCCTAAACCCTAAACCCTAAACCCTAAGCCCTAAACCCTAAGCCCTAAGCCGTAGAGTTTTATTGTTTCGGCGGAGCCAGGCGGCGGCTGTCGGAGCTGGTGGGCCTCCACCCCTAAACCCTAAACCCTAAACCCTAAACCCTAAACCCTGATTTAGGGTTTTTGCTGCAGCTGTTCGGACGTCTGGAGGTTTTTGACCGCCGCCTTTTTCGCGGGCTGCTGCGGCATCTTCCGAAAATGTTTCATTTCAATTGGGATGCAGATTTTATTGCTGCTGCTTTTGCTGCTGCTGCTGCTGCTGCAAAGAAGTGTAAGCTGCAGCAGCGCTGCTGCTGCTGCTGCTGCTGCTGCTGCTGCTGCTGCTGCTGCCTCTTCAGCCATTCTTTTTTAATTTCTTTTTCGGTTTTATTTATTGTTTCTTTTTATTACTTCTTTTTACTGCTTTATTTATATTTATTTATTATTTCTTTTATTATTTCTTTTTATTATTTCATTCATTTACTTCTTTTTATTATTTCTTTTATTTATTTCTTTTTGTCATTTTCTTCTTTTTTACTTTCATTTATTTATTTCTTTTTTTATTTTTAATTTTTTCGTCTCCCTTTACTGTCTCTTTCAAGTTTCTCCTTTTGAAATTTTATTTTTTCATTTCAACTTTTATTTTCTTTTTACCCCTAATTCTATTTCCTTTTTTTTCTTCTTTTTATTTTCTTTTATTTCTTTTTATTTCTTTTTATTCCCTTTTATTTATTTTATTTTATTTGTTTTATTTATTTTATTTTTTTTATTTTTATTTTTCAATTTTCCTTTCTGTCTTTAGCGGTCTTTCTTTGTTGCCTTTTCAAAAGTTTTAAAATTTCTTTTTTGTTTTCAAAATCTTTAAATCTTTTATTGTTTTTTTTGTCTCCTTTTATCTTTTTGTCTCTTTTTATTTCCTTTTGTCTTAAATATTCTTTTGTGTTTTTTGTTTTTATACCCGTAGTTCAAACCCTAAACCCTAAACCCTAAACCCTAAACCCTAAGCGTTGGTGCGGCGCTGAAGAGGTTCGAGGGTTTATGACTTACATTTCAGGCTTCATGCCTCAGGCTTCACGCTCCAGCCTTTAGGGCCTGGGGTTTAGGGTTTAGGGTTTAGGGTTTAGGGTTTAGGGTTTAGGGTTTAGGGTTTAGGGTTTGTGTTTTCCCCAGACCGCCTCCCGCAGCGCCGTGAACACAAAGGCATTCAAGTGGCTCCTTACCGCCTCTTTGTTCGTCTTGCTGCTTATCTCCAACACCCCAGTTATCACAGGGCCCCTCGGGCCCCCCGGGGGCCCCTGGGGGGCCCCTGGGGCCCCCCAGGGGGCCCCCTGGGGCCCCCAGGGGGCCCCTGGGGGCCCCCCGGGGGCCCCCTGGGGGCCCCCCGAGGGAGGCTTCTACGGGGCCCGCAGTGCAGCCCCCTGGGGGGCCCCCTGGGGGCCCCCAAGTTGGTCGAAAGCGGCGTCGTTTGGCTCTTTTGTTTGAAGTGTCTCAGCCGGAAATGGTTTGCGAAGTGATAAGTGCTGCATGCAGTTTGGGGCTGCCGCTGCTGCAGCTGTACCGCCTTGCTGTGCTGCGGGCCATCAAAGACAAGGGCTTTTTCCACCTCGAACACCTCATTTCCATCGCAAAGTCCTGCTGCTGCTGCTGCTGCTGCTGCTGCTGCTGCTGCTGCTGCTGGGGGTGCTGGTGCTGCTGCTGGGGGTGCTGGTGCTGCTGCTGGGGGTGCTGGTGCTGCTGCTGGGGGTGCTGCTGCTGCTGCTGGGGCTGCTGCTGCTGCTGCTGGGGGTGCTGCTGCTGCTGCTGCTGCTGGGGGTGTTGCTGCTGCTGCTGCTGCTGGGGGTGTTGCTGCTGCTGCTGGGGGTGCTGCTGCGGGTGCTGCTGCTGCGAATGCTGCTGCTCTTAATTTTGCTGCTGGTGTCGCCGGCGCCCGTCGGTGCTGCTGCCGCTGCAGCGGCGTCTGCTGCTGCTGCTGCATTGCTGCTGCTGCTAATGCTGCTGCTGCTGCTGCTGCTGCTGTGGGTCGCTGAGAGCGCTTGCATGTGTGTGGGGTTTTGCTGCCTCTGCAGGGACCTCTTGAGCGTCGGCCCCACGGCCAATGTGCTGCTGCAGCAGCTGCTGCAGCAGCTGCAGCAGCAGCTGCAGCAGCTGCCCTTCTGCTCTCCTGCTGCTGTTGCTGCTCTAGGGCTAATTCTCGGCAGCAGAAACTCCACTGAGGCCCTCCCGCTGCAGGCCCTCATTAAGGCCTTAACTGCCAGGTCCAGCTGCTGAGACTCAAGGCGCGGGGCCTAGGGTTTAGGGTTTAGGGTTTAGGGTTTAGGGTTTAGGGTTTAGGGTCTTGGGGCTCAGGTCAAAGAGCCGCGTGAGGTGTAGGGCTTGGGGTTTAGGGTTTAGGGTTTATAGGTCCACGCCAAAGCGTGTTTAGGGTTTAGGGTTTTGGGTTTAGGGTTTAGGGTTTAGGGTTTAGGGTTTAGGGTTTAGGGTTTGGGGTTTTCTGTGCTGCAG